TTAATTGCTTTCTTATTTATTGTCTATTCAGACACTCAAAAGATATTATTATTAGCATAGACTGGACAGTTTTCAAAAGTATTTTGAGCTTTGAGAATGTATACTTTTATTTAATTAATTTATTATAACTTGCAAATCTAAATTTCGATATAAATTGGTATGAATATAATATAATATACATGTAATTACATTTTTAACATAATATTTATATTATAAGATAATATTTTATATGTTAACAAATTTAAATATTTATAAGTTATGTTTAACAGGAAACCAATAGTAAAGTGTTGTTTCTTAATAAGTGTTGTAATCTTAACCTATATTTTACTTTACGAATACAATTATGTGACAATTGATTCAAATGTGATTCAACTTAAATCCGATGAACGCAATGACAATGAGATTGAGTCCACACTTCAAAGAGTGGATAACTCTTTGAAGACATTATCAGTATTACAGCCATTGAAGAGAAGTGGTTCTCGTCTTGTATTCGCCAATGAATTGATTGAAATGACAAACATTACGATCGACAAGAAGTCTTGTAGTGAACAGTTTGGTAGAGATCTACTTCTAGTGGTATTGGTCTTCAACAGAGTGGACGGCTTCGAGAGGAGACAAACCATACGCCAGACATGGGGTCAAGAATTTAAAGCAAACAAAATGACCAGGATATACTTCGCTGTCGGACTATCTAGGGATCCAAGCATTGAATCCAGACTGAAGACCGAAAGTGACCAATTCGGTGATATCTTGCAGTTTGGTTACTATGAAAACTACTACAACTGCACCATAAAAGCGTTGGCACTGTTGAGGTGGACGGCCAGGAGCTGTCCTTTTGCTAAATACATGCTTAAAGTGGACGACGACTCGCTTGTTATGGCTAACAATTTGCTTGACTTTGTCCGTACGAGTGATGCGAACGCTATATACGGCTATTTGTGGACCAAACCTGCTGTAGATCACGGCAATGACAAGTGGGGTATCAGTACTAGGGATTACTCGCACCAGTATTACCCCGATTATATTGGCGGCCCATACCTCATACCGGGCCGCTATTGTCTGACACTATACGAGACGGCTGTCACCAAATACTTACCGGCCCTTCCTTTCGAAGACGTGTATGTGACGGGAATTGTGGCCAACGATTGCAATATAAACCGCAACAAACTCGTGTCCCTTATATATATAACTAACGGCTGTAATCCACTCGCACTTGACTTTTGTCACTATAAGTCTGTTTCAATATTCTGGCAAAATCTTAACGATAACTCAATTCGTAAACTTTGGGATATTTATCACAATTTGAATGTGTGCTCACTTTTAGGCGGAAAAAGATGTGCTTAATATTTATTCATTAAAAATAACCTTTGATTTTGTATTATACATTTTAAACTTATTTATAATATATTTATAATTTATAAATTTGTAGTAAATAAACATAATATGAATGTAGATATTATTTATACAGTAAAACCGTTTTATATATCTGTGAAAGAAATACTAAATAAAGGTCTGCTTTAATCCTTTGAGAACGTGATTGAAACTGATTGACGAGTAAAGCAAGTGTTTACTGAGATTTTATATGTGGCATATATTGTACTATAAATTATTCATTAGTTTTTTAAATCAAAATATCATTAGTTATTAATATGGATATTTCAAAATATTAGTAAAGCTATAATATAGCAAAAATATTAACAATCATAACTGAACTGGTCGTGTTTCTATTATATAAAATGTAAGCTATTGATTGATACCAATAAATCCACAATTCTCGGCTTTGAAATTTACCTAGAGTCAAACCTAACTTTCCCGTTGAAAAACATTGCGCGAGTTCTCAACAATACGTATATCTCCAATGTATTTGTAATTCAATTTCTCCTGGTGCAAAGTTATAATGTTATTGTCATGCAAAAAGAGTAAGATTCATGTGCTTATAATAATGTATTTTTTGATAAATGTGTCATAAATTATTTAGACGTTAGGTTTAATTAAAATGAATTGTATTTGTTTTACAAATCACACATAAGTTAATGAACTTATTTTAAGATTACCTTTAATTTCACTTCGAATGCAATGAACTCATTGTACTTATCGTTGGCTTTAATTTTTATTATAGCTTTTATTGCTTTATTTATTTTTCTATACATTTCATACTTAATGAGTAAAATATTTCATGAATTGACTACATTTTTATTGTAATTTAAAAATTGTTATTTTTATTAGAATTTGTGTTCACAAACTCCCGAAGTCGTCCATCAGATCCGACAGATACTTCAGATCCATCCGAAGATACTCCACTATTATTATCAATTAGGAATCAAATGAATAGCAAACCAAATGATAACAAAGAGTCGCATGAATTGAAAATAGGGATGAGTTCAGAGACAGAAGGGGAGGTTATGTCACCGGAAAGTATGGAAACTATTAGATCTGAATTGGAATAGGGATATGGAGTATAGTTTGCTATAACTTAGTCTATGTATTGGTTAACTAATGTATTTTAAACCTAACTAAAAGACTTTCTTATATTTCTTTTTTATTTTAACATTTTATGACTAAATATTCAGTTAAATTTTTGTAAAATTACTTAATAAAACATTTTATATTACTTTGACATTAAATTCATTTTAATTTTGATTGATTTATATTTATAAATTTTCAATCTAATTTATGGATATGTTTATCAGATTATTAAACAATTAAAACAACAGGTGAATCTAATTTAGAGAATTACATGAAAAACAATACATCAAAACATTGCAAAGTAAAAGTATATTTTAATTTAGTTTAAGTTTTAAATATTTATTTATAATATCAGTGAAAATGTCTTAAAAAATAAAATTAAGAAAATAGCCGGTCAACACTGTGGACATCATCAGGGCTAAGATGTTATGAAATATGAGAATAAGTTTCACTAATGAATGTTATTTTTTGTATATTTTAATTGTTTCACGAGTTTAATAATAATAATCAGAATCTATATTACAATGTTGTTTTCAAAAACATTTGTAATTTGTGATTTTGATTCTGTTAAACAGAATCTGTTTTAAGATTAATAACCGTTTATAGATCTTATAAATCAGTTTTGCATAATTAAACCTAAACTATTGAAGAGTTACAGATCAATTTGAGATACAGATAAATAAATGTGAAAATACTATAAAAGGTATTGAAAAGTAAAGTAATGGACAGAAAGAGAGTGAAGTCGGCGGTGAATGCGAGCGATCGGCCGAAACTGAACACAACGACTATTATAGCGGTGTTTCTCATAGTGTTTATGATATCAACCAAATGTGTGAAAAGCGATCACATGTGCGACCAGATTAGCATCGATGCCATCACTACACTACAGAACCACACAATCGCTATATTCACGAGAGATAGGGTGTGGCTCCTGAACCAGGAATCTAACGGTCTGTCCGGTCCCTGTCCTGTAGGCACGGTGTTCACTGGCATGTCGGTGCCCATAGAGGCGGCCATCACCATCAACGGTCACGACACTATTACCGAATTCATTGGCGCCAGTATCTACTTCGGAGAGAAATCCTTTTTCACGTTTCGAAACGTGGGCCAGTACTCCGTCGAATGGGGTTCACTGGTATACCTGCCCCACATGGGCGCCAACGTAGACATCGGCGCCGCCGATCCGGAAGCCGTAAAATATATGAAGCAAAAGATGAGTTACGCCTTCTTTGATCCCATCGACAAGAAGACTATATTCGTCTTCAGCGACGGCACTGTCCTATCGTTTGGCTTCGAAGTGGGCGCACCCTATGATGTGCCAGATATCACCACAATTGACGAGGTGCTCAAGAAATTCGGTGTCGTCGGCAAACTTCCCAAGGGTTTGACGGCAGCCCTAACCCTCAAGAAAGGGGATCAACAGATGCTATACCTCTTCGACGGTCTCACGTATTGTTCGCTTAAACTGGAGAAAAGTCTTTTCATTAATCAGAGATGTGATATGAAACGAGTCAAAGAGTTTCTTAATTGCGATAAAATTGTGCGAAAGGACTCCATCTGTAATAAGAAACAAGAGAAAGCCATAGAAATGGATGGTTTGGTGGCCGGTCAGGGATCAGCCACCGGTATACAGACCAGGAATGCTAACCCACAGCCAAACTCTGAAGAAACTGACACTAAAAAAGATGTCAAAAACGGAGCACAGAATCGCTGCCAACATTACATTGAATTCACTCTGACATTCATTTCACTGTTTATATTATTTCATATAAATTTATTCTGAATGCAATTCTTTGTTTATTTTAAACTTAAATAAAAATTTTATTCATATTTCCATCTTATAGTATGTCTTAAATAAGTCTTTCATTTTATCTCTTATTTTCCGATGACATTGACTTTGAAAAGGATTCAATTGAGGAAAATTTCACTAACTTATTTATAGCCTTGATAAATTGTTTTATTAATAGTAAACATATACAGTATTTCAAAAATAAACATTTTGATAAATATAATAGGTAAATGATTCTTCAAATAAATTATTATGTTTGTGTTTTCATTTCATTTTAATTACTACAAAAACATAAAGGTAATTAAATGAGGTTTGAAATAGTGATAAACGATATAAGAGTATAGTAAATAACTTACAATTGTCATAACATATACCGATACAATACAGTGTGTTTCACATTCACTATATTATGCAATTTATGATTTCAATGCAACTTGATTTTTATGTTCCGCAACTTGTTTTCTAGTATTCAGAGTCTGAATTTCAGACAAATAAATCACATCAATAATCCAACAAATGTTTTAATATTGCAAAATATTTATTCCTCATTTATACATAACAAATTAATTTTAATAAATTTAAGTAAAAACATTATTCAAAACTCGTAATTCATATTAAAAGTGTGTACATTAAATGACATAACTTATAATCTTCATTCAGACTCTTTGGTCTATTATTCTATTAAAAAGTTTTGTGAAGCCTTCAAACAATGGCAGGCCTTTCACTAACAGCTCTATTACTTATGATGTCTTATATTATACTCAAACGTCAAGAAGACTTTCGCCAAATAGGTTCTCGTGAAAAATGGTTGACTTCGTACGACTACATCATAGTAGGCGCCGGTTCTGCCGGTGCTGTGGTCGCCAACAGACTCTCAAGTATTTCATCGAATCGTGTTTTACTGTTAGAATCGGGTGTTGAAGAGACTATTGTGTCGACTATGCCTTCAATGAGTGATAGCCTCAAGAATACAGCAATGGATTGGAATTATACTATAGTTTCGCAAAATTATTCCTGTTTTGGGCTCAATAATAGGACTATGAATTGGCCCCGGGGTCGGGCACTGGGAGGCACCTCTGCCATCAACAGAATGGTTTGCTTTTTAGAAATAATTTTTTATTCATTATTTCGCAAAATTATTCCTGTTTTGGGCTCAATAATAGGACTATGAATTGGCCCCGGGGTCGGGCACTGGGAGGCACCTCTGCCATCAACAGAATGGTTTGCTTTTTAGAAATAATTTTTTATTCATTATAAATTAATGAAAAATTTAAATATTACACAATTTTTAATTTCCAATCAATTTCTAAGATATAAAAACTTATTCTCATATTTAAATAATGACACAATGCTGTTAATTTTAGTTTTCTATTAAAGTTGAAATAGATATAAATTATAAAATGCAATTAATAACCTTTATTATTAATTCAGTATTTTTTGGTGTTTATTCATATTAAATATTTCAATAAAAACAAAGTCAATGCCGTAATGTAATAAATAATTTTCGTAGAAATGTTAGTATTAGAGGAGTGTATGAAATAAAAGCGGATTTATTAAACATAATTATTGATAGTAATATATACTTGAATGAAGTCATGATTCTTTGAAATTGAGGTCCATTTACGTGGAAATCCCAAAGACTTTGATGGATGGGCCCATTTGGGCGCCAACGGCTGGAACTGGTCTCAAGTGTTTCCATACTTTTTAAAGTCAGAAAATGAAACGGATCCCTCTTTGGCCACAAATGGTTACCACTCAACAGCCGGACCCCTGACAGTGTCAACGCCTCCAGTGGTGGAACTCATGACAAATCAATGGGTGATTGCGTCCAACGTTTCCGGTTATAAAATAATTGATTTAAATGGCAAACAAAGGACGGGTACCGGTATTACACAACGCAATGTCCGCAACGGTATGCGACAGTCATCTTCAGAGGCATATCTGTCTCCTATTTATAAGCGAAAAAATCTCCACATTTTGACCAATACTTTGGTCACAAGAATACTAA